ATATGTTTTGAATTTAGAAACAACCACATAAGAGGATAGATTCAAGTCCTAATAAAAAGTGAAGCCTTTCTCAGGTAGTCTAAGCCAAACAAGCCCTGTGGGCAATGACAGTCTCCAGTAGCCACCAGCAGCAACAGCTTTGATTCTAGGCTGGAGCTGCTCTAACCAGGTTTAGGCTTTCCTCTTCTGGAGTGCCTTTTGGGGAGGTTCAGAGATTTCAGAGGATAGTGTACTTAAGCGTTTGACTGACTTCTTTCTATGGTGACTTTAATATGATGTGTTTGGTACTGATGGCTTTAATTCTTTTGGTGGTTTTTATGGTAACAGGGAAATCTCTGTACGTGAAGAGGCTACATGAGAGACTGCAAGAAGAGCAGCCTGACTGTACAAAACTTCTGAAAACCATCAGACTAATTGAACCAGAAGTGGATGAAGATAAAGTGCTAAAATCTCTCCTGCCTTTCCTGAAGAGAAAACACCAGACAAAGCCCATGATATTCCACTTCGATATCACCTCGTCGGTAAGTACATCCCTCCCACAGCCGCCTTGTCCTAGAAGCTCTGTGTGGATCCTTGCAGAAGCTGCTGCTTTAAAGTTTTTGTTTCTTAGTAAGCCATTTCACTAGGATGTGTTTTCTAATTATTGTGTAAGTAAGTAACATAAAGAACTCTTTGCCACCAAGGTGGTTGACCTCTAGAACAGGTTTCCCAGAGAAGCTGTAGAGTTGCCAACCCTGGAGATGTGAAAAATCTGACTGGGCATGGCCTTGGGCAGCTGAGCCTGCTTTGAGCAGGGGGGTTGGACAAGATGATCTCTAGAGATCCTCAGCTGTTCTACGGCTGTGCGGTTACGACGAATAAATACAGAGGAAATGCCTTTGTCTTTTCTCGTGATAGGTACAAAGTGGAATTCCAGAGTTTCTGTTCAAGCTGTTGGTTTTGCAGTATCTGACAGATAATAATGGAAACATGTGGCTACGCCAGAAGTGCCATTTGTATATCATTGAAATCCTTGAGGTATCGCCCATGCCAAAGAAAGCAGCAAGACATGTACGTACACAGCAGGACTTGATTTCTTTGAATTTCCCCATCATTTTGCCCATATGTTTGTATCCAGCTGCATATCAGCTGTAGAGGCTGTAACTGTAACCACAGTGGAAGGATCCCCTGCCTGTGGCTGGGTGTCCTGTGCATCCCCACTCCACAGTGGTGGTGTACAAGTGAGAGTAAAACCAGACAGTAACTTATACCTGTGGGGGTTTTCTTGGCTTGGTAATTCCTGAAGGCCTGTTATCCAAGCCTCTCTGGCCCCGCTGTAACATTTACATAAAAATGCAAAATCTAATCTTTCTCATGTTACTTTGCATGTTTGAAATTACTGGAATATTTATATGCATCTGTAAGGGCAGCGTGTAGAAATGACAGGGATAAATAACAAGTTTCTTGGGTTTAGTTTTGTTTTTCTTTGGGGCAGCACTGAGGAGGGGCGGGCAGTAACAAAGGATTGATGTTACGGGAAGGAGACCAGAGGAGGAAATAGGATTAACTGTGATGTACTGTAAGTGAAGGAAGCGATGCAGAGGGGGAGAAGTGTCGTGGTTGTGTAGGCTAGCTGCTGTGTCTCGGTTGGATCTGTGATTTTAGGGAAGAATACTGTTAGGAACAGATTCAACAAAGTGAAGATGATTACAGCTTTGTGGTGATGTATTTTCTTCTCCTCCAGATGTCAGCGAGCCAGAAGTATAGTTTCTTTGATGTGTTCCCTAAAGTAACATGCAAGTCTCCCAAGGAAGTACTAGAAATGGAGACGCTTTGGAACCAGTCTGGGGATGCTTCAGACCCAGGAATGGATAAGGAAGAATTTTGCAGTGAGGCTTTCCAGAGACCTTTCCAGTATCTGAGAAGATTTGACCAGGGGTGCAGTCTGGACACGTTCTGTTACGAAGAGCACTCGGTGGAAGGCAGCCCGGCAGAGTGCCTGCAGCAGTTCCTCCTGCACTGTGGGGTGACAGATCCCTCCTGGTCAGAGCTCCGAAACTTCACGTGGTTTCTCAACGTTCAGCTGAGAGACTGTGAAGCTTCTGTCTTTTGCAACCCTGACTTTGTCCAGGACACTTTGCAAGGTTTTAAAAACTTTGTTGTTACCTTCATGATTTTAATGGCAAGGGATTTTGCAACACCTTCCCTAAACATTTCTGATCAAAGTTCAGGAAGGCGGTCCTCCGGCCTGGAGAACGTTGCAGAAGAAGATCTTCTTCCTTTCCGCATTCGGAAGAGGTGGGAGTCTGAGCCTCATCCGTATTTATTTTTCAATGAAGATCGTGTGTCCATGACATTCATCGGTTTCCACTTTCAGCCTAATGGCCGTGACGGCGTTGATGCCATTAATCCTTTGAATGGCAACGTTATCAAGAGAAATGTCATGACTTCACAGTTGTACAACGGCTTGTTACTCCAAAGAGTTCCCTTCAATGTTCCATTTGATCAGTTGCCTCGTCATGAGAAGCTGGAGAAGCTTTGCTTGGTTTTGGGAATCCCCTGGGTGATAGACCCTGACGAGACGTACGAGCTCACGACAGACAACGTGCTGAAGCTCTTGGCCATTGAGATGCGATTCAGATGCAACATCCCAGTTGTCATCATGGGGGAAACAGGCTGTGGGAAAACCAGACTTATAAAGTTTCTGTGCAAGTTACGCAGAAGCTTTGTAGAGGTGGAGAACATGAAGCTTGTAAAAGTGCACGGAGGTACTACTGCGGAGATGATTTATGCCAGGATCAAAGAAGCAGAAGCCCTGGCTAAAACCAATAAGGAGCAGCATGGGTTGGACACGGTCCTCTTCTTCGACGAAGCCAACACGACGGAGGCCGTAAGCAGCATCAAGGAAGTTCTGTGTGACCGCACGGTACAGGGGAAGCCGCTGGTCTCTTGCTCTGGCTTGCAGATCATAGCAGCCTGCAACCCTTACCGTAAGCACACGCCGAAGATGATCCAACGCCTGGAATTAGCTGGATTGGGCTACCGTGTCAAAGCAGATGAGACGAAGGATAAGCTTGGATCTATTCCGCTGAGACAGCTCGTGTACCGGGTCCACGCGCTCCCACCCAGCATGATCCCGTTAGTGTGGGACTTCGGGCAGCTGAACAACTTAACTGAAAAACTGTACATACAGCAGATTGTCCAGCGCGTTATGGAGCACGTCCCCGTGGGGCAGCTCGAAGCAGAGGTGATCACAGAAGTGCTTTTTGCTTCCCAGCAATACATGAGGCAGAGGGACGACGAATGTGGCTTTGTCAGCCTGCGGGATGTGGAACGCTGCATGGAAGTTTTCAAGTGGTTTCACAAACACAGTGAACTCCTCCTGAGAGAACTGGAGAAGTACCTTGCTGAGAAGAGAGCTTCAAAGAGCACGGCTGAGAGAAACAACGTTATCTGGTCCTTAGTGCTGGCAGTCGGGGTCTGCTATCATGCGTCCTTGGAGAAGAAGGAGGCCTATAGGAGTGCCATCAGCCAGGTCCTTCCAAAACCTTACAATACCCAGAAAAAGATTTTGGAAGAAATCACCCTGGTGCAGGACTTGTTCCTGAGTGGCGTGCACCTCCGAGATACCATAGCAAGAAACTTGGCCTTGAAGGAAAACGTCTTTATGATGGTCATCTGCATTGAGTTGAAAATCCCTCTCTTTCTCGTTGGGAAGCCCGGGAGCTCCAAATCTCTTGCGAAGACCATTGTGGCTGATGCGATGCAGGGCCAAGCAGCTCATTCGGATTTGTTCAAGGACCTGAAGCAGATCCACCTGGTGTCCTTTCAGTGCAGCCCTCTCTCCACTCCAGAGGGAATCATAGGTACTTTCAAGCACTGTGCTCGATTCCAGGAAGGGAAGAACTTGGAGGAGTATGTCTCAGTGGTGGTTTTGGATGAGATTGGGCTGGCAGAAGACTCTCCCAAAATGCCCTTGAAGACTTTGCATCCACTTTTGGAAGATGGCTGCATAGATGATGTCCCTCTTCCTCACAAAAAGGTTGGCTTCATTGGCATTTCCAACTGGGCTTTGGACCCTGCTAAAATGAATCGAGGCATCTTTGTCTCACGTGGTGACCCCAGCAAAGAAGAGCTTATAGAAAGCGCGAGGGGGATTTGTTGCTCGGCACGAGGAGCTCTGCAGAAGGTCGAACAGTATTTTTGTCACTTTGCAGATGCATATGAAAATATCTGCAAGGCCCAAGACAGGGAGTTCTTTGGTCTGCGTGACTACTACAGCCTCATAAAGATGTTTTTTGCCTTAGCTAAGAGCTCCAAAAGTGAGCCGACGCCTCAAGACATAGCTGAAGTTGTTCTTCGTAACTTCGGGGGCAAAGATGATGTCAATGCCTTGGAAATATTCACCTCGCAGTTACCAGAAAAAGGAGAAATACATGCTCATGATATCAGTAGAATTGAGCTGGTGCGACAGAACATTCACAGCAGCAGTCAGGATGGTGACTGCAGGTACCTGCTTGTTTTGACTGAGAATTATGCAGCTCTGCAGATCCTCCAGCAAGCTTTTTTTACTGCCCGACAACAGCCAGAAATTATCTTTGGCTCCAGTTTCCCCAAGGACCAGGAGTATACACAGATATGCAGGAACATCAACCGTGTGAAGGTCTGCATGGAAACTGGCCAGATGGTTGTGCTCCTCAACTTGCAAAACCTTTATGAAAGCCTCTACGATGCCCTCAATCAATACTACGTGTACCTGGCTGGCCAGAAGTATGTTGACTTGGGACTGGGCACCCACCGGGTGAAGTGCCGAGTGCACCCCAGGTTCCGTTTGATCGTCATCGAGGAGAAGGACGTGGTGTACAAGCACTTCCCCATCCCGCTGATCAACAGGCTGGAGAAGCACTACCTGGATATCAGCACTGTCCTGGACAAGGGGCAAAGGGAAACCGTGAAGGAGCTGAAGAAGTGGGTGCAGGAGTTCGCTGCGGCCAACACAGAAGAGCACTTCATAAGCCAGCAGAGGTACAGCCCTTCGGATGTGTTTGTGGGCTACCAGCCCACCACCTGCGCCTCGGTGGTCCTGCAGACCACGGAGAGGCTGCGACCAGCATGTCACCCGGGCGAGCTCCTGCGCTGCGTGAAGAGGGAGGCGCAGCTGGCCCTGCTGAACTGTGCCACCCCGGACGCCGTCATCCGCCTCTGCAACTCCGTGGGCTTCTTCATGGCAGATTCTCTGGCCAAAATCTACTTCAAGCAGCAGCAGCACACGTCTTTCGCAGATTTCCTCCGAGCTCACGTCGGCGCTGGGGCCGGGTACCAAACAGTCTTTACAGAGGTGAGTGCCCTGCCGAGTCCTCTCCGGAGCCTCCTGGCCCGCGCTGGGGTTTGCTTGCCCCGCCAGGGCTGTGTGCTGGCCACACCTGAGCAGGCTCGCTGTGTAGCGCCCGCCCGCGCAGGGGGGTGTCTCGGCGAGCGTGGTGTGTCCTGAAGCATCAAGTTCCTCTGCTGGGCGGGAAGCAGCAGCTGGTGCTCCCTGGCAAGCAGGGCTCTGTGTGGGCTTGGGCAGCTGAGGCATCCCTTCGCTTTGAGGGTAGTTCTGTCTCCACGTACGCAGCCGGCAAAAACTGGCTGCAGAAAAAGTCGTCAGGAGCCTTTGAACCCTCATTTCTTTGTGTCTGCCTCTGGTCTTAAAGATACAAAAGAGTTTAACCCAGCTAAGCCACAACCATGGAGAGATCTCACAGGCCTGTGATGGGACCTCTGGCTTACTTCTGCCCAGTAGCAAGGCTAAAGAACTTCAGCTGAGATTGGCTGGAGAAGTTCTCCCTCTCCCGCTTCACACGGAGACTGTGGCTGGACTCGCCGCTCCCCGGCAGCGCGGTGGGGCAGGCAGCCTGGCAGGGAAGCACGGGAAGGGCTCACGAGGAGTTTGTCAGAGCCTTGGCTGCCCCTTCTCAGCTGCCCCGGCTCTGGCAGCACCACGAGTCACCGTGTCCAGCTACCCAGCGTGGCCCTGGGCTGCTGTGACAGCCCATGTTGCCCCTTTGCCTACTGGCAGGGAGGTGCATGTTGTTTTGGGGCGCAGTCCAGCTCTGCAGCAGGTTCGCAGCATCTGGGAGCACAGATGAGGGAGTCTCGGCTGCATTCCCGAGCAGAGAACAAACCTACACCTTGCTCTCCCAGGTCACCACCTTCTCGAGGCTTCTCACCAGCGCTGACGCTGCCTGTCTGGAGAGGGAAGTGCGGGGTAAAGCGCAAAGGCCTCAAATCCTCTTCCTGCAGCAGTTTGACACGGAGTACTCGTTCCTGAAGGGCATCCGGTGAGTCTGGTTTTGCGTTGCCCTGCTCTGAACGGGCTGTCACCCGCGTGAAGGAGGCGCGGGCTGGACACTCGGAGGAGCCTGTATGGAAAAGGGAGGCAGCGGCCTGGCCCCGTGCAGCTGTGTGAGCTCCAGCACACTGAGAGGGCGTTTGAAGTTACCCCATCTCTAATCTCGCCTTCTGCCTGCAGCAGCCAAAGCTAATGCGGAGTGACTGCTTCTACAGGCTTTAACGGTTTGGTTTTTACACTTAGTGATTTCTCTTAAATCCCCTTTCGCTCTTCAGAGATTTCCTTGATGCCACACCGGGAAATAAAATCCTCATTATTCAGACAGACTTTGAAGATGGCTCTCAAAATGCCCAGCTCATCGCCTCAGCCAAGTAAGTCAAGTGTGGAGTGGTCCCCAGCTGGACGGTCAGGGCTGTTCCGGGGGCTCAGAATCAGGAACGCGTGATCCTTTGTTTATTCCGTAGTGGAACGAAGGTAGAAGCACCAATTGTATTTCAAATAATAATTCATAACCCACATCAAAATAGACTAGGCCGGCTCACGTTACCAGGTAATCCCCTCTGAAGTGGGAATCCTTGCCGTCGGCTCCAGAAGTCCTGAAGAGCTGAGGATGGGGGGGTGGTTGGGGTGAGGAGAGGCGGCTCGGCACGGCCGGCTGGGAGGGGTTGGCGAGTCACTTATGTCTGTAAGGGGGGAAATCGTGCCCTCCCTTACAGAGCAAAGACTTGTGGCCGTGCCTCTTTGTGTCTGATCTGTCAGCAGCGTTCCCACTCTCTTGTAGATACACCGTTGTTAATGAAATCAACAGGGTGGACCTGGGACAAGTCTCCGTCTTTGTTTACTTTATCATGAAGCTTTCCCGGGTGGAAGGAGGAACCTCCTACGCGGGATTTCATGGAGGTGGGTCTGCCCGTCTGTTGCCCCTCGCTCTTCAGCTGGCTTCAGGAAAGCATACCAGAGCAGCAGTTCCCGTGCTCACTTTCCTTTTTAATGCTTAAAATCTGGCATGGGTGTGTGCTGTGGGTTGTCAGAGCTGCTTCCCCTACCCACAGGGACTGTCCCTGGGGGTCCTGGTCTTTGCGAGAGCACCTTGCCTTGCTGCTGGCAGGCGAATCCTCTTTCTTGTCAGCTGGCGAGCAGCAGACAAACACCGTGCTGCTGCATTGGCACACTGTCCTCCAGGAGGCTCCGGAGTACGTGCTCACACGTGTCTGCTGCGTGTGGCGGGCTGGAGGAGCCTCACAGCCCCCCAGTAGCGTGCACCCCCCCTCGGTCAGGGTGGTGTGCGTGAGCGTGTTCAAAGCGACTTGCTGCTTTCCTTTTCCACATCAAGAAGTGAGAGTAAGCAAACTCTGACTGTGAACTGCTAGCCCACAGGCACTGAGAGATAATTCCTGGGAAGTTCTTCTAGAGGAGCATGCTGCAGGCATGAAATGACTTTTTTTTTTAATTTTTGTCCTCTGTCTTTAGGACTGTGGCAGTCGGTGCATATCGACGATCTCCGCAGATCCAAGGACATGATCTCCGACGTGACGGCCCTGCAGAACCTCACCATCAGCCAGATGTTCTGTGAGGACTCGGGTAAAACCAAAGGTGAGCTGCGTGCTGGCTGTGCCAGGGGGGAAGAGGGAAGGTGCAGTCCCGGGCTTGGTGCTGGAACAACAGCTGCTTTTGCCTGGTGCAACGTATCTGGCTATCTTCCCTGCTCGGCATCTGTTTTTTGTGGGGGGGTCACAACATGGCTACCAAGTTTTATTTCTATTTAGTTTGTTACTGCATTTTTGGGTCATCAAGTCAGTTATGTTGGTAGTTTCCCCTTTTGACCAAAACGTGGTATTTGCGCTGCCCCGCACCCGGAGAGCTCTGCCTCAGCACAGGAGGCAGCAGACGCTGCTGGCAGAGACCCTGACAGGGAGCCCCTCCAGAGAACATCTCACTTGAATGAAAGCAGATCCGTTCACCTAAACCTGTAGGAAGATTAGAAAAGACTTTTTTTTCTTTCCCCTCAGTTCTTCCTTAGGCTTTTTCCTTTCACCATTCTGTCTCACAGGGCTCTGGCAGAGCATAGTGCATGAGCCCTGGGTGTCAGATTTCTCCCAGCTCTTGCTGTGTGAGGCTTGGCAGCCCCAGCAGCTGTAGCTGTTTAGGGAGGTGGATCTCAGCCACTCACGCAGGTGATAATGGGTCTCTGACAGATGTTCTGCTGCTCTGGGATGCGGCTGCTAAATAAACTCTTGTCTGATGCAGAAATGCACTGCTTCTCTCTAATAAAAATTCTACACCTTAGCTGCAGCTCTGCCTGTGAACGGAGAACAGGGGAGCGAGGTGGAGGTTGAAGCGCCTGTGCCAGAAGCAGGGCACTGTGAGGTCAGTTCAGAATACATTTTTTTGCTTCTCTGCTCTGTCATCCGTAGGCACAACACACCTTTTGCATCTGCATTCACTTGAAATCCATCAGGAATGTTACCTGCATTGTGACTGTTAACGATCAGACACAAATTCCTCCTCCTGCAGCCTGATCAAAATCAGCATCATTAAAGTAGTAAACCATTCTAAGGACCCTCTAATTCCTTAGTCATTTCATACTCCTAATTTTTAAGAATCAGTTTTAAGTGTCTGTTGTTTTTCTGCACCCCAGAGTTGAGAACTGTGATCCTGAGGCTGCCACTCCAGCCCTCGGTGCGTTTGAAGCTGTGCCAGGGTTGGCCGTGGACTTTGCTGGGCTGCAGCCCTGTTAAGACTGGCTTATGTTCCCCTGGCAGCATCAGCTGGAGGATGCCCAGGACGAGGGTGACTGAAGGTGGCTTTTGCCCCTCCAGTGCCTAAGCATCTCCCAGGGAGGGCATATTTTCCCGTCATGTTTATAATTTCCACATTTTTCCCTGACTGCTGAGTTTTCCTCCTATAGGAGCCTTACCTCAATACAAATGCTGTGGTGCTTGCCAGTCTGAAAGGGCCACAGGAGTTACATCATGTACTTGAAAGCAAAAGAAATTAAATTTGCAGCCTGGGATGAGAGGAAAACGGGGAGCTGGGATTCAGAGGGACAGGCCCTTTCTAGAGAGCACTATAACCACTTTAAGAGGGATGTGTTGGGGGCGAGGGTGTAAAACCGAAGAGTAATGAACTTGTTTTCACGCTGTCCCCGGGAAGGGTGAAATCCTGGACACCACTGTACTCCTGAGGACCTGTGTACAAAGTGCTGTGGGGATGCTGCGGGACCAAAATGGGGATCTTAGTCGAAGCAGAAAACGAATTAAGATTCTCCTTGGCCTTCTGTCCAAAGAGGATGACTTGAAAGGTATGTGCCTCCTGGCTGCGGCAGGTGGTGTCCCTGAGCATCTAGGGGACTGCCGAAACACGGACCTTAGTTCGGGGGGGACCCAAAGGTCAGGGGTGGCCAAGGTGGCTCTCGCAGGGGTGTGTGTGTCTGTGCTCCAGTCTGTTGCTCCTTTGATGGCTGTGGGGCTTTCCCTGTAGTTCAGGTTGTGGTGTTTTCTCTGGCTAGGCTAGCTCTGGGGACTGTTTATTTTCTTGGTCGGCTTATTATTGAAACGACTGCAAAATGCTGTGCTTGGTGTGACATTTGGCTTTGGATCCAGTGCCAATAGAAGAAAAAATGCAAGTTCCCTGTTGTTTTCTAGCCTCTTTCCTGAGGATAACAAAGGCTCGTCTCTCCAACCTTTTGAAGAAGCAAGAAGAAAATTCCCTCCACCCGAAAAACTGGGTGCTTCGGGAGGCTTCCAACCTCAGTGCTCTCCAGGAGGCAGGCACCTTCAGGTGGGGGCAGCAGCAGTGTCTTGTAACCTGCGGGTTTCCAAGAGAAGTCTGCAAATGGCAGCCGTGCAGCAGAGACAGCAGTTCTGTGTAATCTGAATATTTGCAGTGTCAGTCTCCAGTCTGTGCTGGAAACTCTCCGGAGGCGGTTTTGTCCTCTCCTGGCTCCTGAGGGAGAGTGACTTTACAGCTGAATGGGCTGCACTGGGACAGGAACGCACGACCGCTTTGAGTGGGCCAGTGGGATTGCAGGCGAGCCACAAGCGAGAGAAGCGTAGGGGTTCTGTTGGTGGTATTTTTCCCACTCAAAGGCCAGATTAGGATTTTCTCACGTGCAAGTGTCAGCAGTTCTTCGGGACAACCACCTCCAGATCTGCTGACAGTGCTGCTCACCTTCCTTCTGGGTTTCTCGGTCTCTTTCTGCCCTCAAAGGCACACGCTGTGGAAGCGGGTCCAGAAAGTGATCACTCCGTTCCTGGCTCTGCTGATTGCTGTCATAGACAGGAACGGGAATCTGGAGCTGTTGGTCAGGCCGGCAGCTGAGTGGGTGACAAACCTGTGGATGTTCATCTTCAGTGATACAAAACTTCTGAGCGTCCCTGCTGGCGTGGGCGCGGGCAGGTGAGCTGCTGGCGGGAGCAGCCGGGGGCTGCGCTGGGCCGGGCCCGCGCTGCCTTGAAGTCTGGGTGGGAGGCTGATGCTGCTGGCTGCTGCCCGGCGCCATGGGGAGGCACCAGGGCAGTTCTCGCTGACTTGTCTGACATCTGTTCTTTCTGCCTTATTCCCAGTACTCCCGGGCTTTGCTCTCTAGCTCTTGGCATGCTCACACTTGTCACCCAGCCCCTGAAGCCCACGTGTCCTGCCACTGCAGCCCTTTTGCCAGGGACAGCTTCCCCAGTGAGTTCTAATGCTACACCCTTGGCAGGATGAGCTGTATTGATGAGTCTTTTAGTTCTTTCCCCTTCCCTCCTCCCCTTCTGGGGCTAATTCCGTGCTTTCTGCAGCTTCCTGCCTCTGTTGTCTGAATGCGTTTCCCAGGCAAAAGCCCAGTGCATTAATGACCTTTTAATCTCCTAGCTCTCAGCCAGAGATAATTCTGGTGCAGAACAACATGACGGTGTCTGCTGATGCTGGGAATGAGATGCCCTTCAGCTGGAGGATAAAGGAGTACTTGGATGAGATATGGTTGGAAGCTCAGTATATCCAAAACACTGAAGGTGAGAGCCCGGCTTGAGCTCGTGACACGGAGCATCTCCGCCCACCTGCCCTGTAAACTGGTCTTTCACTGCTGTGCCTCTACCTTTGTGACCCTGGAGTCACCTTCAGTCCCCCTGTGCTGACAGGAGCCAGCAGAGCTTTGTGCAGCTGCCTTTTCTTTGCGCTTCTCACTATGAGTCTTTCTCACGTGTTCTGTACCCTTGTATTCAAAGTGCCGTGGAAATTCCAGGAGTTAATGCCAAGGTGAGATGCCATAAACACGTCGCTGGTGCCTGGGCGGAGAAGGCCTGGCCTCAAACCCCTCGTTAGTGCTCCGAATGAGGGCAGTGCTCTTTGGATCCGTGATTAATTGGGTGTCAGTCTCTTTCAGATGGAAGTTGTGTCCAGCCCAGCCTCCTCCGAATATTCAGCTTTTCTCTGCATTCTCATTTTCCAGACCAAGCTGAGAAGTTTGTGGACATCTTCGAGAAAACGGCACTGGGAAAATTTCTCTCTGCTCTGAGTGAGAAAGAAAGGCACATGCTCTTCCAGTGCTATACCACAGACTTTATTGCCTTGACCATTGGTGTGTCGTCGCTAGAGGAGCTGCAGGTCAGTGTCTGGAACGAGAGCTGGCAATCCTTTGGGTGGAGAGAAGAGCATGACATGTGGGTTCTGTTTCAGTCTTGCCTTCTCAGGCAAACCCCCCTGACACCGAGGCAGACCAGTAGCAGGGTGGCCCCGTAGCAGAGGTGTTTGACACTGAATGGCTCCTGGAATTGCTGAGACTTTCCTCAGCAGAGCACTTCCAGAGAGCACCTGTAAAAACTGACACATATTTCTGGCTCTCTTCGTCAAGTACTGATTCTCTTCTGTCAGAGGATTTTTGCCAGGATTTCCAGTACAAAATGAATTATAAAAGTTCTTTTTTCATTTTGATTTTAACTTCTTTCTAAACTTCCAGTGTCTGCGGAGCGTGTTCTTATCCTGCATAGAGGAGTGGAAGGCGGCATCTCCCAGGAGAGAGGAGACGGTGCCGTCCTTGCCTTGGGTCCACCTCGGATACAGCCAGTTCAAGAGCCGCCTGCAGAACTTTTCTAGGATCCTGGCTGTACACCCTCATGTGGTTGACTACCTTGTTAACCAGGAAGGAGATGGAATTCCATATTCTGAGATGGTAGGGTCACTGCCCGGCCTTTTGTGATCCTCAGCCCCAGCAGAGCTCTAGCTTTGCTGAATTAGCCGGCGTTCAGGCTCCTTTTGATCTCAGCAACAGTGAAGTGGGAGGCGCAAGCTCCGTCAGGATCCTCAGTATTAGGAATAATCTGCTGTTCTGGTTGTTACTAGCAGGTTTTAAAATAGCTGCCCTGCTTTTGCATCAGTTAATAGGATGTGCTAATGATCTGAGCCATGAGCGTGAGAATTCCAGAGCTTAGGATAATCAGATAGAACATTGTTCAGCAGAACACATGGTATAGCAAACCAGGTTGGGAACCCAAGGTTCATAAATAATTCTGAAACGCAACTGTTGTTATACTTAAACCTTGTGTGCGTGTCTAGGTTTTAGACGTGCTAGCTGCAATGGTGTGTGTTGAAGAGCTGGAGAATCAAGTGCAGACAGCTCATCCAGAGACCTGGCTGCAGAAAGTGAAGAATCTTCGCATGCCCATTGAATTTCTTTGTAAAGAGGAGGATTTACAAAGGACTGGGAGTTGGTGCCATCAGCTGCTGAAAAATCTGAAGTATGTAGCACAGTTCTGCTCACAATCTTCATCCTTTGCCTTGCTGTTAATGTTAGTACAGGCTGAAAGCTGCTCTGGTGCTGCTTTTCTCCCTTTTTTAGATTCTCCCTCTGAATGTGGCAGTACCAGCCAGCACATTCCAGCTGGGTTCGGGGGTTATTTAAAACTCCCCTGAGGTGCCTGTGAAGCAGCAGCGTCTCCCCCCTTCATCCCCTTTGCGTAAAGGCTGGGGGGCTGCACAAGATGAAGTCTTGTCTCTTGGAAGACGAGCCCAGAGAGCTACCCCAGTTTCTCACAGACCTTGTTTAGTTTAACCGAAGTGAAAGTGTAGATAACTTTTATTTTTTTTTAATTGCTTCCTTGGTGTAGAGGTTAGAGGCGTGAGAAGGCCTGTGCAGCGCTGGCTACAGGACAGCTACGTGTGAGCTGGTGGTCAGCTGCTGGTGTGTGCTCTGTCCTTGACAAAGAGCCAGGGCTGATAACCCCAGGGGGGAGCAAGAAGTTGAGTGAGAAGCACACAAATGCTGCAGTGCTGAGCGTGAAAGGCAGCGAGATCACGAGACTGACCTGACGCTGCACTGCCATGCGTGCTCTCAGCTCACCGTTGTACTTTCTGAAATCACACTTTGCTTCCCCCAGAGTCTGCTGGAACCGGGTCTTCTCCATGTCTCTGTTTGTAGAACACGTGTTGCTTGGCATCAACACTCTGATGCCAGAATTTGAGAACTTAGTGAAAAAATATACTTTACTTCTTGGCAATGTAAGTAAAGATGTGATTTCACCTCTTCCCTGTTTGCATCTGCTGATGATGGGAATTTTTGTCTCGGGTGTTACGGCTGAGTCATTTAGCTTGGTCCCTCTCCTCTGCAGTGTTTCCAGCACAATTCAGACATGAAGACTCATCCAACTTTCGTTGCAGTGATGAAAGTACTGTGCCAATGCAAGGACGAAGTCAGCCACAGGCTCTACAGGTAGTGACACTGAGACGAGTCGCAGGGTCCGGGAGGAACGTTGCCCATGTTGCCAGCGTGTTTCTGGGCGTAGGGCAGGGCTACATGCAGTGCAGTGAAAGCCAAACGAAGAGCAGTAACTTCCAGTTTAGTCTACACCCTTAAGCTAAGAGTTAGCCAACAGGTCTTACATTACGTCCTCTTGCTCTAGTTGCATATGAACATCTTACTACAGGCTTTTGGTGAGGCAGCACTGAGGTGATGGTGTTTGTTGCTGTTTCTGAATTACAGTCATGGTCTGAACTCCTGTCCAGTGTGCCTGGGGGAGCCGAAGGATCCCGTCTGCCTGCCCTGCTGCCACGTGTTCTGTCAGAAGTGCATCAGGACGTGGCTGGTCCCAGCACAGATGCACTGTCCGTACTGCAAAGCTGCCGTGGGGGATGTTGATTTAGACGTCTCGGCGGAGCTCAGGTACTCACCCTGGCCAGGTGGAAGTTCTGAGCTGCAGCTCTGCCGTTGTCAACACGAGCAGCATGGGTGGAGGGAGCTCTGCTCTTTCAAGGGCTGGAACAGGTCCTGTCCGTTTTCTGTTTGTTGTTTCAAAAGAAGGGAGGAAGTTGCCTTGGCCCTTGTAAGAAAACCGTAGTTACAAACCCCTGTAAGCTAAAGCACTGCCAGAGGCTGAGTCAGACAAGGGAAGTGCTTGTCACCTTGGATTGCTCTGTGATAGCTTGGCAAAAACCTCTCAGCAAATGTATCTGGCATCACGTTGCCATTTGTGGTCTTAGCTGTCAATGTGACACAGCCCTTGCAGACAATACTGCTGATGTGTTGCACAAATCCAGCCCTTTGGAAAGCTGGAAAAGGATCTCACCCAGCTGACTTCTGCCTGTGTCTGCTTTGCCTCATCCATTATTTAAGGGGTTCTGTACTGGAGTGTTGTCCTGATGCTCTCTACCCTTCCCCTAGAGATGCCATAGCAAAAGGTGCCCTGTTCCGGCAGAGATGCAACAATTTCTTCATAGATGTGGTCACTACCATGTGCTTTAAGGACAATGAGCCCCCTGAGGCAGAGGTGATCCTAGAGCTCCTCAACCTGCTCTTTGTTCACAGAAGCCTCCTGCAAGGTTCAGGTGAGCTCCCTTCATCCTGATGCTCAGCCTCATGGAGCTGATTATCTGCCACTTTCTCACCTGCCAAACTTGTCTTTTCCTTACCTCCACAGATCAACCTGCTATCTACACAAAATTTCTGTCCCCATTTAACGACGAAGTAGATGAAACTCCCATCATCCGCTCCGTGATGCTGAAGCTCCTCTTGAAGTACAGGTGAGCAGAGTCAGGCAACTGATGGACGTTACACAAGGGGGGGTTCAGCTTTGTTTTTCATGACCTCATCAAAGCAGTCTGATTGTTCTCCTCACTGCCATGCTGTTCATTGAATTAGAATCATTACAGGTGAAACTCATCCTGTGCTTTTGTATTAATTATGCAACTTGGCTGGCTTGCATGTAGCTTGTGTTGGAGTATCTGATCAGTCTGTCCCAAGGTTTACCTAGCTGTTCCTAACCTAAACCCATGCTGAACGTGGGTGGCTTAGGTAACCTGAAGGTACCTGACTAATTGATACGCTTTAGATCAGTGAAGAAATGATGTTTTAATTGCAAAAGGTCCTTTGTGTGCTTACACAGACCTCTCCCTTCACACGAGCTCTTCCAGCCTCCCACTGCTCACCTGTGGTCATCTCCTAAATCAGATGCTTAAAAGAGATCAGGTGATGCCCCTTAGAAATGCTAATTAGGCATGGCTGATGACAAAAGCCTAGCTCAGGCTAGATGACGTCTGGCAAAACATGGCACAGTTGCTTTCCATCTTCCAGATGGATCCAGAGTGACCCCCCTGTCGTGGGCATAACTCCTAGCTCAGCTGTGATTTAGAACACAGGTAATGGCCATCAGGTATTGCAGCTGTGGTAAGGGGGTGTTTCTCTCTCCTGTAGCTTCAATGAAGTGAAAAATGATGTGCAACACTACCTGTCCCAGGTAGAGCACAACGAGATCCTAGACAAAAATGATAAAAAAGAACTCTACTTGCTTTTTGTCAACTGCTTAGAGGTAAGAGCGCTGGGGAGGTAAGAGCTGGGCGATAAAACTGTTGCAGGAATAAAAAACCCCTCAAGAATAGAAATTCTTCTGCAATTTTAGGCAGGTTTCTTGTGCACGTAACTAGGTGCCCAACTGGAAAACCCCGAAGGAAGTTTATACCAAATCACTGTCAGAACCTGCTCCCCAGTAACGACCCGTGCCCGGTAATGAGGGAAGGGGGGGTGTTTGCAGCAATATGGAAATTCTTTCTCTGGGACACCTGGGCCAGATCTCTGAGTGTTAAGCGAGGCCCAGTAAGACTCAGACTCCCAACACAGGAGTGTTGCAGCAAGCAAGGGGATGTTTAGTTTCAGTAGTTCACTACAGGACTACTTTCTTGTTTTTGCAGACGCTTTTCTGTTCGCAGAGCCTTTGATTATTACGTTGTTCAGATGGCTGTTTCCTCCCCTTGCCTAACTTTTAATGCTTTGGACAACTTTAAACGATTTGACAGCAGGCTAGAGGTTTCATTTCTTGTAGTTTTAATTAAAATGGTGACTTTGTAGATAGGATCAAAGTTTGTATTCTTGCTAAGGGAAAGACAGGTAGAGCTTGGCATCCCGGAACACGTGGTGTGTGTTTCAGCATGCGTGTGGCTACTCAGCATCCTCATAACTTGCTCAGCTGCATGCTTAGGAAATACGAGAGAGCGCTTGGGTGCATCGCTGAAAATGGTGCTTGGCGACGTGGCAGAGGCTTAGGATAAGCACTGGAGGGATCAGAGGGAAGAGCTGATGGCCTCGGGGTGGCGGGTGCTGAGGGACATGGAAGTTTAATGAGCTTGCTGCAGCGTGGATGCACTGGAGGGAGAAAGTACCCGTGTACGGGACATCTGATTTCAGTGGTTCTGCCACTCATGCAAGATTCTGGCCCATCTTTAGGATTCCATGTGTGAAAAGTCTGAGGGCAGCCTTGGATATGAGCAGATAAACTATCTGCCTGGAGAAAGAGGCTTTCCAGAGAACTATCTCCCAAAGAACGATCAAGAAATTCCTCCGGAATCATCCGTTGAATACCTGCAGGCAGTAGCCAAGGTTCGCTTGTACCTGAGTAAGGCTGCAGAGCTGCTCTTCGACTTGCACGGGCCCACAGGTAAGTCTGACTCTTCTGCTATCAAACGGAAACGCTGTACAGAGAGCAAAGGCACCACGGGAGATGGGCTGGACACAGGCAGTGATCCTGGGCTGCGCTGGAGCTCCTTTCGATGCGGGGCCAAGAGCGAGTGCACCCGCTTCCTTCTCGTTCATTCAGCATCACTCAGTATTCATCCTCCCTCCCACGGATTACAAGCGCTCTAGAACTAGTAGCAAGGCTGTGCCAGTCACCCCGAGGGGGTAGTTACATAGCAGCTGTGCCTTTTGAAGGACATTTATTTTATTCTCTAGATGCTAACAATGAAATTTTATTTAGAGCCAACTAAATTGAACTCTAATGAATAAATGAATAAAACATAAATGATGCTTCAGCTACATGTCTGCTGTAAGGTTTATAGTTTTATATGAATGAGAGCTCTGTGCAGCTAAAAAGGATGAAAAGGTACATAAAAAAAAACCCAAAACCCACCAACTTTTGAGCTGATTTGCTGACCCAGTAAAAAGGAGCAGTGTGTGGAGTATCTCCGATACTTACACAGTTCATGAAGTGCAGTAACATAACTGATTCCAAGGGACTTCGGTGTCCAGCCCTTGCATTGAGCACGTCAGGGGAGCGAAATGCATCCCAGGGACCCTTCCTAGGGAGCACCATCACCTTGGCAGTTGACACAGTGGAAAGCCATTACTGAGCAAGATGGAAGAGCTCTGAGAATGAACTACCGGTACGTGGAAAACTTGTCCTTGAGAGAAGGAAATGGAAGTAGAGTATGTCATCCCGTGTCAAAGAAATACGAATCGTTGTCTGAAATCCAGCTGAGGAAACACTCTAGATGAGTATCTGAGGAAGAGAGGGCTCTTGAGTTCTCCCGTGTAATTAGTCAGTACTAGTAAAAGGGGCTTGGTGCTACAGCTAGTGCCAACAGAAAAGTTTTACAGGGTAGGATGTGGTTTTGCCTCTTTTTTTAAATTTTTTTTTCCCCCCCTATCCAGAGCAAGACCAGATAGAGGAGAAGCAGCGTTACCTGGCAAATGTGAGGATGTTCTGTAACCTCACCAAGAACAACTGGCATCGTGTTTACCTAGTCCGGAAAATTGCTAGTCAGTATGGGATGGAATTTGCTCAGAAGCTTGTCACGGAGGCGCAGTTTAACTGGGTGTTCCCAGTGGAAATTCTGCAACAGGTAAAAAAGAGGTGTTGTCTTGGAGATGGCTCTGGCCTCCTCTTAGTCTTCAGCTTGTGCTGCTTCGGGTTGTTTGTAGTGTTGCACGGTGCTGGGGGGCTGTGAGGGTGACGTGTCCTCTGAGTGGGGTCTCTGCAGTGAGAAGCCGTTGGGGTGGCCCTGCCCGCTGTCTCTTTGCAAAGGCTGAAGTGGCACAGTTCTGGGAGGAAGAGGAGGTTCTGCCTTGCCCACCGTGCTCACCACGGGCTCTTCCCTCTGCAGGTGCAGAACAGCCAGACTAATCCCATCGACCGTTACCTGGCGTGTGGCGAGGGGTACCGCGTCCTGCGGGACGCCGTGGGGAGAGCCATGATGGAGTGCAGGACCGAGGGGCTGCTGGAGGCGGAGAAGGTGGGGCACGCTCTCCTCACTGTGAGCCTGCTGCGGGGTCTGCATGGGCGGTGGTTCACCTTGATGTTCCTCTTGGCAGTGTCTCTCCCAGTGGAGAAGCCTGTGTTGTCTTTGCTTGAAAGTTACTGACGTGTCCCGTCCCCCCCCCCCCAAGAGGTTATTTCTGTTGGTTGCCTCATCTCCCTTTTCTCCCCTTACAATACATCGCAGTGGTTTGTTTTACAGTGAACAACACGGGCACCCTGTAGCCACCTGAGGGGCGAGCAGGCAGATAATCAAAGGTGCTTTATGCCCCCTCCCTGCCTGCCCGCATCGGCCTAGGCTTGTCTCGCCATGCAGAAATCAGAGAGGTGATCTCTGTAATCGTAACCTTCTTCCAGGGTGTATTTTGTGTATGAAAATCTTGAGGATGAAGTTTGTGGACAATCCACCTTTGAATGCCTCTGTACCATCTATTATACGCTGGCTGGGGTTTGACGTTTTTCACGTGTGTTGCTTTGATTTGAAGAGGGCACGTGCAGGCTGCTGCCCAGCCGATCGCAGTTCTGACGGGATCTTAGACGATCAAAATCCTTGAGAGGTTTCTGATCTAAAACCCTCAGTCAGGTTGAGTGCTGTCAGATTGCTCATTTATGGCTTCAACAGCCATTTCTGCACCATCCCCCTTCATTTATGGGGAGAGCTTTAGCACAGACCTGCTGAAGCCTGCGTGTCCAGGAGCTGCCCTGACAGCCTGGGCTCTGCCATGTCACTTCTCCTTCTCCAGGCAGCTGCCAGCTCCCCGGCTGTAGGACGTGTCCATCTGCTCCTGGCTGTTTTCAGAGAGGTCACTGCCCTGTATGGAGTTAGTGACTCTAATCTGCATCCCAAGCAGCAGGTAAGAGAGTTCCCTTTGGTAACTTGTGACAAACATGGTTCATTTATAAGGATGAATGAGATTTGAATCATTGGTGGAAGAGCCTTTTGTTCTTCTGCCCCAGGTAAGGTTATGTCCTGATCTGAGCAGACTGGAAATGTTTTCAAAGCAGAGGCAGTACAGCTGATAGTCCTCTTCAGTTGGGTGGGCAGTATCACGCTGGTTTTACTTCTTTTAAATATGTGCTTTCAGCAAACAGATGCTATGACTGCGTTCATCCAGGACTCCCAAGTCCTGAACTCTCCAGAGCTGCGGCACTTTGCAGCTTCCCTCGTGGGGAACACGCTGCCGTCTCTGAGAGTGGATCCTCAGAGCTTCAGCCCCAGCGGGGCGCTGGTGGAAGTGGCCGTTCACACCGCGGCGGTGCTGCTCTGCGGGCAGAGCCCCCTCCTGCAGCCCCTCAGGAACCTGGCGTTCTGCCCACACACCATGGAGGTAAAGCTCTCACTCAGGCGGCAGCTCAGCGCATTGCTGGGTCCTTCACGTATCTGCTGGGTCCTCTATAACTCAGCCTTTTGTAACATCAAAAGCACCAGCTTGCTGTTTTAGCTGTGAATTACCGATGCACGATGATTTTGGTGGTGTTGGGATGAATCAGCACAAGCAGCAGCTCTGAACTGGTACCTTTTCATGGTACCTCTGCATCCTGAGTGCTTTCAGGCAAATACTTTTGCCAGTATCTGCGTGAGCAGGTCAGAAGGAGCTGGCGGGTCACACTGCGCAGAGCTCTGGAGGGTGTTCTCATGGAGCCCGGGGCTGAGGCAGGGCAGAGGGATCTGCTCAGTGACTTCTGGCTGTGCAAGGCGTAAGGAAACGTGCTGGTACGCACCAGGGTGCACCAGGGCCACCCCAGGAGGAATCCAGCTCAGGATGTCTAGAGAGTGCACGTCCAAGTCTTAACAATACTGACAGTTCTTAAGAGTGGAATTTCAAAGGTAGAATTTGAAAATGTGCGTGTGCATCATCTGCATGACCTCTGCTTTCAGATGTCCCTTGTTCCCCATCATCAATAAAGCGACTGCTACGGGAAAGAACTGATTTATATATTCACTTGTCACCTTCTTTTTCCTTTTTCCTCCTTAGCACTCTTTTCTGCCCACAATGCCAGAAGATATAATGGCTCAGGCGAGGGCCTGGAACGGAGTGGCCTCTCTGCGCTGGTACAGTAAGTGCTCCTGCCTGGCTGGGAAAGAAACCGAAGGATAATCCTTGGTTTCTGACTGAAACTCTTCCAAATGTGCGGACAGACACACTCCTCAGCATGAGTTTTCCCTTGTAATTTAAGACTTGTGGCTGTGGTTTATGTGGGTAATGCACCAGAGCGCATCGAGCTCCTGATGAGTCTCAAGCTTAGAGCTGTTTGCAGAGTTTGGGAGTGCAGGTGCCCGGTCCTGTCGCCTCTGGCAGGATGGACATGGGAGCAGAGGAGCACTCGGCCACCTTCCTGGCCAGCGTTCTGTTCTCTGCTTTCACAGTAGGATCTTAGGGCAGGCTGGGAAGGCAGGGGTGGGAGCATTTGGTGCTCTGTAGAATCTTTCAGGTTTCCAGTCCTTGTTTCTCAAGGAAAGAAGCACTGAACAAATCCTCGAGTTCCTATATGGGCCTATTGCTCCTTTGAGCTTTGGGACAGTCAGTGCTTTTGATTAGATTTTGAAGCCTATTTCCTGGTCCAAGCTGATGATCCCTATGAAGGGAAATAACAGGGGCTTTATAAATGTCTGTCTTGTAACACACTCCTGTCTCTCTTGCCAGCATGTCCAAATGGCCACCCCTGCACTGTAGGAGAGGTAAGAATTTGGGACTGGTGGGTTTTTAAGCGGGCAGCGTTTCCAACAATATAAACTGTTTTACTTTGTTTACTGGTTTTATTGTTCTATTGCAGCGTGGTTCATTTTCCAAACTCTATATTACTAATCATTTTGCCATTGTAATGTAAAATTCAGAATAGCTCTAACACAGCTTATACCCTAAATCTAGGAAACAAGAGAGGCAGAGGTCCTTTGCCCAGTGTATAGCAGTTTTTGAATTAACCAGTTACAGCTTGGATTTTTGTTTCACTCTCTCTGCTGGAGAGGCTCTCGCTCAGGAATTCAGTGTTCTCATTTTGCTTTTTGCTAGTGTGGCCTCCCCATGGAAACCAGCCGCTGCCTTGACTGTGGTGCCCAAGTTGGAGGGATGCTGCACGTCCCTCTGCATGGCTTTCAGGAATTGCGGTACGTTCTGATTCAGGAACCTCTTCAGCACTAAATGATGTAGCACTTGCCTGTCGTGCTTTCAGGCTAAAAGGTACCAACCCCTTCATGCTGCTACCTGAAAGGCAGCTCGGGGGATTCCCCGTGAGCTCGGTCACGGGCCTCTGAGGGAGGAGGCTCAGCTCTGAGCAGTGCTGCTCTAACTGACTTGGCAGAAACTGCCTTAACATAAGATCTTGTCAAGCTGCTGCTTTAGGGTCTTTCATCTCCCTGCTCAGTCAGGCTGATCCATGTTACGTGGTTCTACACCAGCATATAGGAATAGGCAACGTTAACTTAAATGCATCAGCACGACTGAAGAACTTCTACCAGAGCTCTGGTAACTATGACTTGTGCTCCCTCCACCTCGGCTCTGAGTTAACGGCCCTTGTGTAAGCACGTTAAAGTTACTCAGAGCAGCAGCTTCTCATCTGTGCAGCATGGAGTTGGCTAATCTTGCCCTACGGGACTGGACATTGCCTCTTGCATAGAAAATGCGTTAGGAAGAGATGTCCAAGGAAGAGTAATCAGCCAGCAAAACCAAATAAATTGGCTTATTTGTGTACAAAACTTATTGGAAGTCTTCATTCCCCTGTAGCACTTCTAATTGGCATTTTTTATGGCATTTAAATAATTTATGGATCAAAAAAACAGTACTGGGTGTCAAAGACACCTCTTTTGTGTGTTTTGTCAAGGCAAAAAAATAAATGCACTTTCTAACAGGAATACTGAAGACAGAACCCAAACTGGCCACATACTTGGGGATGCACAGCACAGAAAAACAACGGGAGTGTCTGACCGGGCCATGTCCCCGGTTGTCTTCATCCTGATACGCCTGCTGACACATTTGACCATGTTGCTGGGAGCCACAGAAGATCCTCAGGTACCTTCCAATAATAGTGCCAAGTGGCCCCGTGAAACGTAGTGAACCCTTTGTGTGACGATGGTCCTTTTCGTCCTGTTGCCGAGTGACTGGGGCAGTTTCAAGATGCCAGACCCCGAGTCCTTCCCCCCTTCCCCAGGAGGGGTTTGGGTTCTCCCTGCGCTTGCATATCCCGAGGTGCCTGCCTCTATTCCTTCAGGTGGGAATCCTCTGGGGTGGAGCTGACTCTCTGGTGTGCTTGAACTGGGTGTTACTGGCCCTGCTCATTCTCGCCTTTTGTTCCTCTTGTAACAGTCATTGCAGAAGATTATCAAGCCACCGGTGCACAACTCGGTGAGTTTCCTGCAGCAGCATATCCAGGAGGACTTGGCACAGCTGACAAAAATTTTGGGGAAGAGTGTGGATGAGACTATCAACATCTTTCATCTTGTCCTTGGCAGCCTCCTGAAGGACGCCCACCAGCAGCCCGGCCAGTGTAAGGAAAGCTGCCTGCCCTGTCACACCTGCAGGCTTTCTCTGCATTCCAAGGCAGCACTTATTTAGCTGCTTTGCTAATAGACCAACAGGCAGTAGCTGAGCTGATGAGGAAGATCCTGAAATCTGAGGCTTGTTTCTTACTGTAGGGAGTGAAGGATTTTTGGGTGTTTCCTTCTTTTTGTCAAGTACATGGGGTCTGCAAGGTTTGGTGCATAATTCTGGAAAGGAATGACTGAGTCAGTAACCCCCTGAGATGCTGACAGAGCTTTCAGCTCGCAGGCGGAGGCGCTGCTCAGAGCCCAGCGGGTTGTGCTGTGTATCAACACGCTGCCCTCTGAATGACTGCAGAGGAGCTGCTTGCAGGAGGGGGGTGGCAGAGCGTGGTTGTGGTAGGATCCGGAGCTCAGGTTGCCATCGGTCACTGTGTCAGAGAGATTTATATGCCATAGCCGTATTTTTAGTGGGACACAGCACAAACCAGTATCCCGAGCTCTGTTCTTCGGTCTGTCACTGGTCATGGTCTGACCTTGGACAACTTGTTTAATCTTTCTGGGATTAATGACTTATATAATTGTCCACATCATTCAAATGAATGGCTGGACTGAAGCTTTCTGAAAAGAGGCTCTCCAGCTAGAGCACGATACTCAGCTTCTAGCACCCCTGTCACTGCTCTTGGCTCATCATGCTAACTTGCAAGGTTGTCACACCTGGAAGCTTAGAGAATCTGTGTTTTCTTTTAATTGAACTACTGCAGATGTAAGAGACTAAATATTCCTGTTGCAGGGCCAGTTCAGTTTGATGGTGTGCTCTCCACCAAGGAGAAGAGAAATAAATGGGAAGAAATTGTTGCAAACACAATTATTATTCCTGAATTGGAGGTGAGAAATTTCCTGTATTAAAACTTCAGTAGCTGAACAGTTCAAAATCAACTTCTTTTGAAATCTGGCCTGCTGTAATATCTGCGCTACACTTTTCACTCAGCTGTTCCTAAAGCCAAGCCATCTATGACACAACTGCAGGTTAGCCTTAATTTGTGAGGGTCAGCCAACTTTCTTCTGCCTGTGGCAGTGGGTATCTGAGGCTGGACTTGTGCTGTGATGACTCTGTGTAGCTGGAAAAGCAGACATGTCTTAGCTCAGCTCAAGGTATTTGTCCAAGTAAGCATATGGCTGCCCCAAATGAATCCGGCTGCCTTTCCCCCCCATATACATCGTCTCAAGAATGGAAGACCCGGCAATTGGATGAGCTCTAGAACAGAGAGTAACTCCATGGTATAAACAGCCACCTTGCTGTATGTGTTTTACATCCCTTCTCCAGGAGTTCAGCTTCTGCTTTCACATGTTTCTGTGTCAAATGGTCATCAAGCTAATTAGGGAAATACATTCTAGTGGCGGTTCAACACAGCAGGACACTGCCAATTCTGGTTTGGTTTTTTTATTTTTTTAATGCAGGATTTGGATAAAAAACTTCTGAAGTTAAATAGACAAATACAAGAGGATGAGAGAATCTCTTCCAATCCAATAGTGAAAATAGTGTATGGTGACCCGGGCACGTTCCTGCCCCAGCTGCCAAAGGGCAGTCACATACATCATTCCAAGATGTGGAGCTGCCGAAAGAGGATTTCAGTGGAGAACCTGGGCCATGTAGTCCAGCAGAAGAACGCCAAGGACAGTGTCCCTCTCCTTTGGAAGTTTCTGCAGAAGGTGGGTGTGACACGGGACCGCAGCGTTCGGAGGTCGGTCACGGTCACAGGCTGGCTGAGGTTGAAGGGGTCTGGTCCAACCCCCTGCTTGGGCAGAGTCACCTGGAGCCCGTTCCCCAAGCTCCGTTTGGTTATAGTGTCCTTATCCTCACAGCTTTCTGTGATCTTGAGAACTGTACCTGTAAAATATTTTTTCCTTTTAAACATTTAAAAAGTAATTCCATAAAAGTATTCAGAACTGGTTTGTCTGAGAACAACCTTACTCACAGGCCCCTTTTCCTCTTCCAGGAACCAGAGCTGAGGCTGGTTAAATTCTTACCCGAGATTCTGGCTCTGCAGAGAGACTTGGTGAGACGATTTCAAAACACTGCTGATGTCAAGCAGTGCTCGATCAGACACTTCCTCACCGAGCCCCTCTCAGGTGAGATGACTCTGCCAGAACTAACGAGTGAAATAAAAAGTGCTGGACAGTCCAGCTGAAAACAGAGGTGAAAACTTTCTTGAGCTTGCAATCTTAAGCCCTCGTATTTTCCTTTGCACTCCCAACTAAATGGGCTGGAGACGTGAACCCTGGAGTTACGCTTGGAAAAGTCACCGGGTGACGTTAAAGAGAATTGAGGACAGGAAGATTGTGCACAAGGGGTAGGGACTCTGCTCAGAGATAGGCAAGATAAATCCCTGAATGCAGCAGTGGGTCTGTTGAATTTTTAAGCTCTGCCCTAGAGTAGAGCCTGCCTGAAAGGTGAAATAGGTGTCCTTCTTTCAAATAGGAATTTGAAAATTCTTAGAGTACAGAGTTTTGTGGTGTTGCCAGTAAAAGGTGTTTCAAGGGTTTGTCTTTCTGTTGTTCCTCAGATGTGATGAGGGACCTGTTCCAGAAGAGAGTGAATGTGTTTCTGTCTGTTTGGAACAAGCTGAGAAGCTCCCTGGACACCAGTGGTGAGCACCCTTCTTTCCCAGTGTTGTTCTGAGAGTGATGGAAGCAAGAGCGTGCCAGCTGTCTGCTGGGGCTCCTCTACTACCTCCCATCAGCGACGCTGAGACAGATCCTCAGAACTGACCTTGGACACTAAAGGTTTAAGAGGATCTAGGTGCAAATGGAAGAATTTGTTTCCCTCCTGTAGTTCTCTCACCTGAACTTGCCCCCTTTATTGCTTACACGTCATGGAGACAGCACTGACCTTCTTCAGGTTCTGTACGTTCTCCTGACGTGGGTCAGCTCAGGAGAGGCTTGCTGACCGCGGGCTGGCTCTGGGCCACCTCAGGCAGCCTTCTCTGCCTTTTTATTTCAGGGGAAATTAAACTCCCTAAGGGCTACTGTGACGCTGACCTGACCCTGGACAGCCAGCTTGAGGTCCTTCTGCCACGTCGGCAGGGGCTGGGCCTCTGCTCCACGGCCTTAGCCAGTTACCTCATCAGCCTGCACAATGACTTTATCCACTCAGTGAACAAACACATCAAGGAAGATGATAGGTATGTCGCTATTCCGGCTAGGCATTGGTCTGGGCTCTGTTCTGTTACCTGCTACCTCGCAGTCAGCTTTCCTTGCTTCATAAAGGCTTCTTGCTCTAAGGGGAGACTGTTTTTTCTCCTGCAGGTATTTGATCAGCCCGTCAGAAGTGGCCGACCTGCACTTGATCAGTTACGAGGTGGAGAGGGACCTGATTCCTCTGATCTTGTCCAACTGCCAGTACAGCATGGAGAGGGGAGGGCAGACCTTGCAGGACTTCGATCTGGAGAGGATCCAGCAGCAAGTCATCAGCAAGTTCCTGCAGGGGAAGCCACTCATCACCCTCATGGTAGGACAAGGCTGCGTGTTCTGCAGGCTGATGCAACGTCCTGGCTGGTGTTGGAGCTCTGCCGGGTTTGCTGCAGGCAGGCGTGCGCGGTAGCAGGGTAAGCGGTGTCAGCAAAGCTTTACAACCATGGCTTTCTCTCCTGACAGGGAATACCCACCCTCGTGTACAGACACGATCGGAATTATGAACAGCTCTTTAATGATGTCAGGAACAAGCTGGATCAGGTGGGTTTCTGCACTGGAGGGAACGGGGTGAGCACGTGGCCCTGCCCCCCCCCCCCCCCCC